AGGGCCGGACTATAGTTTAAAAAAAAAACTATGAACAAATTCCTATGCACACTGCACATATCTTATTTTGAAGTAAAAAAACAAAACGGGAACAAATACAATATTTGTATTTGCATGTGGCCCGCGGGCCGTAGTTTGAGGACCTCTGCCAGTAGTTTCTGTAGGAAATGATGCTCTGAAGAAGTTTCCACAGAGATGCTGAGGGGCCACAGAACTGAGACGGCCTGAGCAGAACTGAGCAGGGCAGGGGTCCATTCTTCCCCTCCTGCCCTGCTCATTACCTACCACTTGCAAGACTCCCAGAGTCAGCAAATAAAAATAGAAATACATGACATCTAATTAAATTTGAATTTTACATAGATAATAATTTAGTATAAAAATACCCTCAAGTACTGCATTTTATCTAGCAACCCTACTAGCAGCCCCTTCAGTCTCGGCAAGGCCACGCCTCCTCACATGCACAGTATGGACTGTTTTGCTTTCGTTTTAACACCGTGCGGAGCGTGGGCTCGATTCTTCTCTAGGATTGACTAGGATCGACGGCTATCAGTCACTGGGAGGCAAACTTAGAATGTCTGAACTGGGAAGTCTTAGAAGTATTGGGTTTTCTTGTGGGAGGCTATCGGTTGACTGCAAGGCTGTAGAGGTGATTAGTGGAAAGATAAGTTAAACGACTGCTAAGATTCCATGGGTTTAAAAGGTGACCTGAGAACCTGGACAGCTTTTTCTGAGTTTATGATTACTAGGCAAGAAAAGTAGATGCATTCGGAGATTATGAAGACAAATGAAGATGGGAAACTAGAATAACAAGATTATTTCCTATGGGCTGAAGAGGCAAAGACCTCTAAAGGGAGTACCTGAGAGTTTTTCCTAAGAGCACCCGTAAGATGGTCACAGAAGTTTTTTATTTTAGAAGATAGTCTTCTGCTTTAAATTCTACATCAGAAAATAGTGATGTGGCACATTCCATGTGGCAATTGTAATTTATTAAGACCTTTTTGTGTGAAGCATTTTATATAGTTTGCCTCATTTAATCCTCAAAACAGCACTGAGGCGGCCTACTCTGGCTGAATGGCTCTCTCCCCACCCGCACAGACACAGACCCTGAAGCGAGACCCATTGTATTAGGTCACACGGTTGGAAAGCTAGGTCTTCAGATTTGGAAGTCTATGTGCTTTCTACTGTGCTACACTACATCCCATTTGTATGTTTTACGACACTTGGGGATGTTTATGGCCCAGAGATAATACATATTTAATTTTAGAGCACTCTCAGTGCGTGCTGATGGTACCCTCGTCAATCATTTGGCCAACTCATTCACAGTCAAGGACAGAGCGTGTACAGAGTGGGATCTGAGAAAACATGGATGCACCTAAGAATGAGGATCCTGAAAGAGTGAAAGAGTGAGCAGGTGAGCAAGGCCCCAAAGTTGTGCCAAAAGAGTTTCCGGGATGGAGGAGTGTGTGCAGTTTTTCTGCATAAAGAGAACTCAGCAGTACCCAAAAGTAAACATGAAGTTAAAGATCAATTATATCCATTATTGTTTCTGTAAATAGCTCTTCTAGAAACTTCTAACAGATTTGTTTTCACCCAATTTTACATTAACATGTAAAATAAAGTTTTATGAGTCCAAAAAAGGAGGTGATCTGAACATAGAGGAATCATGTTACTTGCTCAGGAAACCTCGCCGCCAGACCACTCCAGCCAAGGCAGCTTTTCCTCTGAGCTCTTAGGCACTTAGCTATAAATTCATGTGCCTTATTTTCTGTTTAAATATCCTTAATTATCTATTGATCTCTGCGTCTTCCTCTGCATTGTAAGTTTCTCTTGTACAGGTCGGGTTCTACACCTGTTTCCTCCATAGCATCTTCCTAGCGCTCCCTTCACAGGGTAGGCATTTGCCATTTGATGACTGAGGGGGATATCATGTGAAAAGTTTCGAAGAGAGGTAAAGACAGGTCAGAACAATGGCACACCCAGGATAAAGAGCATAGGCAACACATGCCCTCAAGCTTCTAACTTTACTGAAGACAGACACAGATAGAAGTGGAACCTTGACTCCTAGCCCAAGGCCTTCCCACTTTCAGCTCCAACACCTGTCATCTTCCCAGAGGGTCACCCTCAGCCAGTCTTCCTGCTGAGACTCCCAGTCCACATACCTCCTCCTCCTCCTCCAAGGCTGAGGAAGGCCAGAGCCTAGATTAGAGACTAGATCTTTCAGGAGAGTAGCAGCCAGGAAAGGGGCATTATTCTGAAGACTGCGGAAGTACCATGTCTGTCGATAGCTGACCAGTAAAATGACAGTTTTGTCTAAAAGCCGTTTTCCTGGCCACACCCTCATCAGCAGCTCATTGTTTCATGTGCACTGACTATGCTTCTGATTGGCTGGCACTGCCCTGCCTCCCCTCCCCCGACAGCCCAGGGGCCTAGTGCTCAGACCTGGACTGGCTCTCAGGTCCTCTGGTCTAGACATGTGGGTTAAGGGTCAGTGAAATGGGGCAGTTGGTAGGTGACCAGCACAAAGGCAAGTACCTCTTGGGTAAGCAAACACGACGTTTTGGTCAATAATGATTATGGCTTTTACCAGGCCAATAGAATTTACCAGTGACAGTGCATTCAGTACTTATTTTCAGGGCCTTTTGTGTGGTAAACTTCTGACTTTTCTGACTGGTCATGTGGATGCTTTTAACCAAATTCACCCCTAAGAGAACCTGCAGTCCCTGGTTCTGTGGCACTGGAATGGAGTTTCTTAACTCAATGTGACACTGGCGAAATGGTTTAAGAGGGTGACATAGTTTCTAACAGCTGAAATCATGGTTTGACTTTCTAACAGTTCATATGTATAGCACAACTACAATTACACCTACTGACACATGTAAAACTGGAATTTAGAAACGCTGAACTGGAAAAGCAAGCAAACATCCTCAAATAAAGCCCAACCCTGTACTTAAATGTACTGTATTTCAAAATGTTGTAAAACACAGTTGTCTTAAGGGAAGGAAAAGGGGGGCTCATTTGTTTCTCAAGTGAATCTTCTGGTGTGTGGGAACCAGTCTTACCATAACTGGACTCACATCTCCTACAATTAAACAGACTCCTTAGGGGCAAAGCCAGTCTGAGTAGGCACCAGTGCTTTCTACTTCTGTCATTATAGAAACAAACTCCTATAGCAACAGTTTTGCTTTATAGAGAGGAACCTGGGCTTTGAGGTCAATCCTGTTAAGATTCAACTTTTCATCATCATTTTAATAAAGGAAAAAACAATCTGTTTACTATGGAGAAACAACAGCATTGACGTGCTCAGGACCAATGTTTCCTTGAGACCAACGCCTAACCACCAAGATGATGAGGGTAAGAATCTGGCTCCTATTGAGCATTCCCCACCCTGGCTCTGTCCCCCAGCCCAAGCACTTATTTTCTGCCTGAACCTGTGAAAGTTTCAGGAGTTCCAGCAGTTATTACCTCAGAAGGTGTGCAAATAGGTTCACACGGTATATGTTTTGCAGCTACATTAAAATTCCTTTGTGTAACAAAGTACTTTTTGAGTTGATCTTCAATAATAAGCTTACCATTTTCTGAAACTTTCTATTTAACACCCATCAGGGGCCAGGCACTGTGTTAAAACGTTATCTCGATTCATCTTTACCACAATCCTAAACAGTAAGTACGGTTATTGTCCCCATTTCACTCATGAAAAGACTAAAGCTCAGACCAAGGTCTGTTGATGTGGGGAAGACCTGGCTGAAGCCCAGGTCTGTCAGGCCCACACTGAGAAAACACACCTCATGAAGTCACCAGCAAGGGCTCAGTAGAACATTCTGCTATAGAATTCAACTCAACTAGTCTGATCAAGTGATCTGTACCATTACAAAAGGTATTTTTATAGCGTACACTACTTACATTGGTAGTAAGGACTTCTAGTATATCAATACTTCTTCCTAAGTTTTTAAAAATAGCTGTGAAACTGACCACTGGATCATGTGTTCCAAGTGGCAGTGCGAATTTTTGATCGGACACGTATTAGTCATTTAATTTGTAAGATTCAATAATAGATGGATGAGAGTTTGGGGCAAAAAAGGAAATATGAGATGATCTGTCTATCAGTGGAACTTCTGAGAACCAAGAGAATTGCCTATGACTGCATCTAAACGCTACAAGTAATCTGACTGGCCTGTGGGGCTCAAAGGAGCCCACATAAAAGCAGGATTAAATGAAAAAAAAAATCTGAAACACCATTTCAAAATATATTTTAATTATTTTTGTTTTGCCATATTTCATAATAGATGTTTTTCCTAAATGCTTAACTCTAGGAAACACACACACACACACATGCCAAACAAATTTAACAGTGTAGCTTATAAAAAGGAAGCAGTGCCAATGTCAAATTCCTTCTCAATGATGGACTAAAGTGAAGGGATATATGAAGTTGTGCAGGGTTTTCAATGGCTAATTGCCAACTTTTGATTGTTATAGTATATTATTATTCAACAAGTTCTTTTGTTACTCGCTTCTTCATATTTAGAAATATTTTGCTTGCTGATTCCTCTGACTGCAGTTCTAACTAGACTGGCTTTACTACAATTTTTAGAAAAAAGCTCCATATGCCAAATTGGAGCTCACATCCAATAGACTGTTAATCATTTCTAGTATGCAGCAATCTATGCCCAGTCTTTCCTCATAATGGGGGTGAAGGTCCCAGGCATTTACAGAAAGCTGAACATTTAGAAATCCTTCATTACTCTGATAGCTCTAAAAGAATTTCACACAATATGCAAAATATAATTTTCAAGTTAAAATCTCTTAAAATAGTTTTAAGTCATTTTGCTAGCCATTCCACCCATCTCACCCTCTTTAGCTCTATTTCCTTCCACTTTTAGCTACTTCACCATCCTTCACTGAAAATAGATTACTTGACCTTTCAACTATCTTTCGACTCACTTGAACATGTGCACTCTTAAACACACATACTTTGGTGAACTAGAACAGGAGGAGGCCAGAGGTATGAATGAGCAAGTATGATTTATTACAGGAAGAGAGTGGGAAAAAAATGTTACTAATACCCATAGATAAGTTCCTTAAGTAATATGTAGAGAGACACTGTTATTAAAAATTTGCTTTATTTTTCTGCTGGATTGAGTACTAGTTTCTATTTAAGTTAGATTTTTAAAATGCGTCCCAATTATTAGCATAGAGAGCATCACCTTACCAATAACAAATAATAAGTCAAACTAGGTCCCAGTGGTTATGGCTACAGCTACGTTGTTGGGATGATCAGGAACTCTTTTACTTGTTTGCATTAGCTTTTAGTTCTTGGTTATATCTATGGAGAAAACAGAAAGAAAAATAATCATGAATCACAACAGGTAAGTATACGATAAGAAGGGAATGAGAAGCATATTCCATCTCTTCCCTCTCACTAGCCGAGAGACTATCTAGTTGTAACTACAATCTTCCCAAGGCCTTGTGGGTAGAAATAGGCACAAGGGAAAGTGACCCAGACATTATTTGCATCTGGCTTCCAGCTGCCAAAAAGTTTAAATAACTTAACTTAAGTTTAAATAACTTAACTTCCTGTTCAGAAGTATTATTTTAATGACTATTTTCATTCTTAAACTATACAAGAGCATGACAAAATGTGTGGACTGTTTCACTGACTCTTCCTCAGCTTAGCAGAGTGGAGGACAGGACACGCACAGGAAGCAACTTACTCCATGACGCTAAGCATACCTCCCAGGTCTCTCAAAAGGCCCCGATTCAAATATTCGATAGTGTTTTCCTAAATGCTCCAGAGCCCAATGTCTGCATTTCTAACAAAATCTCTCAATCTGCTATTGTACCAAAAGGTGCCAAAAATTCTTTTGTCTAATGGTATTTTAGTTTCTGATATTAAAAACAATATGGCATTTTGCATTATCTTAGCTCTATTATCATGAGTTAATGTTAAAATGGGATGGTATATGAGGAAAATACTCTGTAAATAAAATCACTGTACAAATTAAAGTTTATATTAAATAAGTCTTAAAAATGATTGTGAGGCATACTCTACAATGAGTGAGTTGTTTATTCACCCATCCGTTATATGCTAGATGATTATGAGAAGATTAAATTATAAAGATACTCATTAACCTAGGAGTGGTAAAGATGAATGAAATAAAATGTGCTATACTCTATGGCATAGAATGCCTTCTGAAAGGAATGTAAATTTTAACTTAATATTTCTCTTTATTGAGATCATTCAAATTTTTTTAATTTTTATTTTTTAGCTAAAGAACGCTATTATTCATGACAGTTTTGTAATTTAGAAAGGTTCTATGGCCCAAACAAAGCCAGAGCCTTCATCTTGGATGAGCTCATTGCAGGATATTAATTGATCAGTGACCAATAATGTTACTGACAGAGTAAACGGTTTAAAAAATTCCCAAAGCTCATGGAACATTTTCCAATGAAACCAGAAGCCTCACTGAACATCATTCCCAATACTACATAACTACGTAATGTTTCAGTTCTACTTTATTATATATGATCGAGAGTCATAAAAGGTTCATTCAGAAAATTACTTAATATATCATTAAGTATATTTGTTATCTTAATGAAATAGATTATATGAAAGAGCTATACATCTAGATACTATACAAATTTAAAACCTAGGTAACATACTGCTTAACATTTTTTAGCTTAAAACCCGACTTTTCTAGAAGTGCTAAATTTTTGCTTCTTACACATCCCATCTTAATATTATACATGAATTTTACCAAAAAAAAGTATTGCCACCTGTGTGGCTTCTGAGACACGTTTTATACCCTTGGTGGGCTTACCTCCAAATACGAAAGAGCTGAGAGGCTCCTGCTGCCCCAACAAAGAAATTAACAGCAAACAGACTCCAGTTTTTTGGAATAATTACAAGTGAGTATCTTGACCAAATAAGCCCTGTTGAAATAAAATATATTTTTTTAAAGTATAGGTACTGTTGCAATATCTTATCTGAACATTTAATATTATAGTAAAATACTTCTAAATAAGACTATGACAACATAATGTAGGACAGAGGATAAAGAAAAACTAGACTCTAAGTCTTTAATTAAACTGCTATAAAATACTCAGTTCTTACATCAAAGGGAGGAAATATTTATAGGGCAAATGAATATTTACTGGAATGTTTTTCCGACATAAAATTATGCTGATGACAAAACGTGAAAAATAAAAACCCATGCAGATACCTATTCACTGCAACCCTCCTCTGCCTTCTCCGTCTAATAACTTCCTAGAGATGACCCCTGAATTCCTTTGTGTGTGTGCATGCGCGTGCGTGTGTGTGTGTGTGTGTGTGTATAATGTGTTCTAAACATTAAATTGTTAAATAAATTGAGGTAAAACAATATACAAATATTGAATGTCCTATATGGAACATGAAGGGTATTCTTTAATTTACCTGTAGCCATCAGAACAGCAGACTGAGCTGTGCTGAGTTTTTCTGCAGGTCTGGCCATGTCAGCCAATCCAGCACACACCAACCCCTGAAATACACAGAAAAAAAGAAAAAGCATCCTAACTGTCAAGTAATGGTTCTTCACTTTAAATAAAACACAGAACTGTTTCAGAGATCTCCACACGGTAATAGCGGTAATTTTAGTATCCATGCCTTAAGAAAATGTGTATCATGACAAAAGCTATAGTGAATTCGGAATATTTTCAGAATTAATCTGTATTTTGTTAACCACATTAAGCAACCTGATATATTTGAAAGTCAGTAGTGTGTGTGTGTGTTGTATATATATATATTTGTTCCACAAATGACACCTTTTTCACATGTGAATTTATATATTCTTTATACATGTCAGGAACCACTGACATGGAGGATGCCTGAAAACTAAGGTAATTTGTATAGATTCCTCCTTTCAGTTTTTTGTCAATGTTATTTATTTATTTATTTTTAAAAAGTATAAATATCAGAAAAGCTGTTAGAAGTTTAGTGTCCTGGTTAGACAGTAATGTAATGTCAGAGGACAGATGGTCATTTCTTCTCTGCTGTGTTTTTGACACTGGTTTTGATGGAATTATGCACTCACAGTCTCAGGATCAAGGGCAGAAGGCCCATGTTCCTTTTCATCTTTATTCTGTACTTCGTTCATTCAGAGAGTGCTTAGAGTATACCACAAGATTATATAAAATACTCCCTGACCATAGGTAGATCCACAGTGACTTGTGTAAAGGCAGTCATGTTAGTGCTTAAGATCATAGATTTGAGTCAAACAGACCTGGAGCTTCCAATCCTGAGTCTGCCACTACAACATGCACAGCCAGTTCTCTGAACCTCAGTACCCTTCTCTGAAAAATGCTGATACTATTTATATCTCTGATATTTTTTGGTGAAGATTAAATATGAGATAATGTATTTTAAGATCCTAATACAGAAGGTTTGGCATCAGTAAACAAATTTAAAAACGCTTTTCAAATGTCTGAAGCCCAGGTTTGTGATGCTTTCAGGCATCTGATTATCTCCACTGGATGGGATGCTCATCCTATATAATAAAAGCCTAATATGCTAAGTGTCTGGTCATCCGTTCAACCAATCAAAGTGTAATATGCTAATGATATGCTAAGGCTGCTCAACCACTCGCTATGACGTGCACTGATCACCAGGGGGTAGACGCTCCGACCGGTAGGTTAGCTTGTCCTATATAATAAAAGCCTAATATGCTAAGTGTCTGGTCGTCCGTTCAACCAATTAAAGAGTAATATGCTAATGATATGCTAAGGCTGCTCAACCACTCGCTATGACGTGCACTGACCACCAGGGGGTAGACGCTCTGACTGGTAGGTTAGCTTGCTGCTGGGGTCTGGCCAATCGGGATAGGCTGGACACCCTGGAGCCCTCCCGCATCCCTCCCGGGCCCCAGTTGTGCACCGGTGGGATCCCTCGGCCTGGCCTGCACCCTCTCGTAATCAGGGACCCCTTGGGGGATGTCGGAGAGCCAGTTTTGGCCCAATCCTGCAGGCTAGGCCAAGGGACTCCACTGGTGCATGAATTTGTGTACCAGGCCTCTAATAGACAGTATAAAACTAACTCTCTTCCTTTCCTCTTTCTTTCTCTCTCCTTTCTTCCTTCTAATACACACACACACTCTAGAGGCCCAGTGCATGACATTCATGCACTGGGGGGTGGGTGGGGGGGATTCCCTCAGCCTGGCCTGCACCCTCTTGCAGTCCAGGACCCCCCTGTGGGATCGGGCCTAAGCCAGCAGGCGGACATCCCTCTCTCACCTCTTATAGTCCAGGACCCCTCGCTCCTTACCACCCACCTGCTGGCTCCTTACCACTTGGCTTGCTGCTGCTTAACGCTACCGTGGGGGCAGGAGAGGCTCACACCACCACCGCTGCACGCACCAGCTGTGAACCCGGCTTCTGGCTCAGCGCACTGACCACCAGGGGGCAGCTCCTACGTTTAATGTCTGGTGGTCAGTGCGCACCATAGTGATCGGTCATTCTGGTTGTTCTGCCATAAAGGTCGTTTAGGCTTGTATTATCTATCTATATAAAACCCTAATATGCAAATTGAACAAACAGCAGAATGATCAGCGGAATGACCGGTCGCTTTGATGTGCACTGACCACCAAGGGGCAGACACTCAAAGCAGAAGCTGCCTCCAGCCCACAGGCCCTGACCGGCAGTGGCAGGGTGCAGGGCCAACAAACGGGTGGTGCCAGGCCAGCCAAGGCAGGTACAAGTGGAGGCCCCCTTTTCACCTAGCCGGTCGCCCCACAGAAGGAGGCAACCAGCGGTGGCGGCAAGGGATGGGGCCAACCGGGCGGTGCCAGGCCAGCCGAGGTGGGTGCGAGCAGGGGCCCCGATCACCCCGCTGGTCACACCACACATCAACTCTGATTGCCGCTAGGCCTAGGGACCCTACCTGTATACACATTTTGTGCAGTGGGCCTCTAGTATAGATTATATAGATAATCCTCACCTGAGGATATTTTTTTCCATTGATTTTTTTAGAGCGAGTGGAAGGGTTGGGGAAAGACAGAGAAACTTTGATGTGAGAGACAGACATTGATTGGTTGCCTCCTGCACATGTGCAGACTGGGGTTGGGAATTGAGCCTGCAACTGAGGTATGTTCCCTTGACCGGAATCGAGCCCAGGACCCTTTAGTCCTCGGGCCACTGCTCTAACCACTGAGCAACCAGCTAGGGCTTCAATATCTTTTCATTTATTAAAGGTCATATAACACTTTTAGAGGAATGTTTAAAAAAATGAAATACCACTATTGAATATTCCAATTCCAAAATGCTCATAGTAGCAAAGACCTCAAGATTTTAAACTGTGAATTAATCTATAGAAGTAGTTCCAGCTGAAAGAACAAACAGACAGGTATTAACAATATGTATGGTTTATCTGAAAGTTGATTTATTCCTAAGGAGAGGAGAAAGTAGAAAATAAAGCTATACCAAATGGCATATTGTTTGAGAATTAATATAACTCAGTCCGTACAAAAAGATTTTGAACAAAAATAAAGAAGCTCTCTTAACTGCTCTTCACATAATAAGCTCCCCAGTCTGGTCAGTGATCTCCATTCCTTCTGTAAACAGGCCAACAGACGTCCATGACACGCTAAATACTCACGGCTAGCGGGCTGCTTATTCTGTATTACATTAGTTGAGTTGTATTTTTATCAAGCCACTGTGTTTGTCCTTAAACCTGTCTATGCCAGTTTTACTTGCTACATAATTTAACGGACTATAGCAGTAATGGCGAACCTTTTGAGCTCGGCGTGTCAGCATTTTGAAAAACCCTAACTTAACTCTGGTGCCGTGTCACATATAGGAATTTTTTGATCTTTGCAACCATAGTAAAACAAAGACTTATATTTTTGGTATTTATTTTATATATTTAAATGCCATTTAATGAAGAAAAATCAACCAAAAAAATGAGTTCGTCTGTCACCTCTGACACGCGTGTCATAGGTTCGCCATCACCGGACTACAGGGTAAACAGGGGAACTACAAAGTGGGTTGCTCTTTCTATGAAAACGCAAGCAACTATTTTGAAAAGACTGAATAACGGCAAGTTTTAAAACTTACTGTCAAATTTGGCATGAGACAGATATACAAAAATTTGAGGGAAAGTCATACAAATCTAGCAGGCTTCTGTTGTCGTACTATTATGAAAGTATCTATGACCTTGTTCTGCTTTAAAGAAAACTAAGCTGGAAATTATATGGGATGCACTATGATATAATTCATCCAAGATAGAAGATGTGGAACTCAAAATCAGAGATCCATACATAAATAAAAGCTTTGGCCTCATAGTAGATGACTGCCAAACGAATACATATTTATATTATTTGAGTTAAAATAAAATATTTAAGGTATAATTTTTATGATTATTTGGTTTCAATTAAAGTGACTAAGGTCTCCACCATAGTTAAATGTCTGAAGAAGTATAGTCTGAAATTCTTCAGACAGAACACATATGGCTGGCAGCAGCAATTTTTATGTCATGCACAGACTACCACAGATTAATTACCAAATGCTCTGGGAGAAGAACACACATTGTACATAAAGTAAATAACCAGCAAAAGAAGTCTCTGCACCAGCGAACAAGACACAGAAGTTTCTATTGCTATGCAGTCATCAGGAGACTATGTTGATTTCAACACGAACTTAAAATAGATTTTTTAAAGGAGACAGAAGGCACTCAGGCGTATCTGATACTGTCAGTGTTTCAAAACACTGGTGGAACAGATCAAAGAAACACAAAAGCTATTAATAAAATAAATAAACTCCCAAACTGTGGCAAATTTGAGGTCAAAGAGGACACCAAATTTGTGGTAAATAGATTAAATCATTCTTATTCTTTTAATAATGGTATAGAAACAATACTTCAGTAATCAATTCCACTTTATAGATAAGTCATTACTATATAATTTTAAGTGTGGTAGGGAGAGGAGAAGAAGGAAATAATAATATACCTAACATTAGTCTCGGTATTTTTGCGGCATATCACTATATTTGAATGCTTACAGTGTGAGCATAATCATCAAAGGTCATACATTGAAACTTTAAAAAAAAACTGGGATCTTTTCTCAATATATAAATATAAAAAATAACTGCTCTCTAGTTCTCTCTAAAATACAGCTCCCAATCGCTCATCTAATCTTGCCATTTTATAGCTGAGTATGTAAAATGGCAGTTCCTCACAATTTAAATATAGTGCTGCTGGTGTGGCTCAGCAGTTGAGTGTCGACCCAGGAACAAAGAGGTTGCTGGTTTGATTCCCGGTCAGGGCACATGCCTGGGTTGCCAGTGGGGCAACCCAGGCTCGATTCCCAGTCGGGGCCATGTAGGAGGCATCCAATCAATGGCTTCCTCTCTCATTGATGTTTCTATCTCTCTATCCCTCTCCCTTCTTCTCTCTCTAAAAATCAATAAAAATGTCTTTTAAAAAATATTAAATATAGAATCACCATATGACCTAATAATTCCACTTCTAGCATAACCCAAAAGAACTGAAAGCAGGGACTGGAACAGACATTTGTTCACCATTGCTGACAGCAGCATTTGGAGTCGGAAGTCCTAGACTCTATCACTAACCAAATGTTAACATACATTTTTAGATAAATCCCACTACTTTTTGAGACTACCTTTCTTTGCCTCTGTTTTGGTGTATCTTTAGTTCTCTTACTAAATTAACAGTAACAGTTAATTTGGGGAGGAGGGCTCTAACTAGTTTAATGTTTTTCTTAGTCATAAAACTTTAGAATGAAGTTTCATGTTTCAAGGGCTCACAATTGTGTTTTGATAACAAATATGTTCCCAGGCCTCCTAATCAATGGAGTTCAGAAAAAACTAGTGAAAATGATACATCTGAGAATCTTTGCATGACATCATTTAGTGGCATACCATGAACATTTCAAAGTACATCCTTCATAAAAGTTACTTCAAATTAGTAAGTTCTTATCAGATAATTTTTTTCAGTAGCTTCTATAAAAACTGAAAACTTACCCATTTCATAATTGGAGCCCAGAAAAAAACTGTTTTGGGACCTGAAACAACAAAAAATTTAGGAATAAGTCAATTATTCAACCATTCCTTACATGTCTTTAATAGCTATCACATTTCAAAAACCTAAAGATTTATCAATATATTTCTAATCATTTTTCCTGTTTCTAATTTTTTACTATGTTTTCTGCATATTTTCTATATAAGCTAACTTTAAAAAGTCGCCACAATATCCATCTTTCATACAAGTTTTTTTGATCTATCAATTATTTGTATTTTTGTGACCTGTTAAAAATTAGCCGAAGTGTAAAGGAGATGGTTTTGGAAAACATGGAACTTAATGCTAGTTCACTCATGGATAACTTCAAGTTGGGGAAATTACAGATTTGCCTTGATAAGGTTTCATGCCCAAGGCTAGAGTTTGGTATTTACTCATCTTCAAGGACATCAGGATCCCTTTACATCAGGGTCGCTTTAGACTTCACTCACTAGTTACTCTTCTCTTAGACCAGTGGTTCTCAACCTTCCTAATGCCGCGACCCTTTAATACAGTTCCTCATGTTGTGGTGACCCCCAACCATAAAGTTATTTTCGTTGCTACTTCATAACTGTTATTTTGCTACTGTTATGAATCGGAATGTAAGTATCTGATATGCAGGATGTATTTTCATTGTTACAAATTGAACATAATTAAAGCATAGTATTAATCACAAAAACAATATGTAATTATATATGTGTTTTCTGATGGTCTTAGGCGACCCCTGTGAAAGGGTTGCTCGACCCCCAAAGGGGTCGCGACCCATAGGTTGAGAACCTCTGTCTTAGACCATGCCACTCCCCCATTTGGCTCCCGAAAATGCTTCCCATGAGTCTGATGCCATGATGTACTGATCCCATAAGTCAATCTTGCAAGCTGTCTGGTTATTTTAGTTAGCTTGAGCTTCTGGAATTCCTATCATCGCACGTGGTTCATTTTTCTTTGTTGTAGACAAAGTCTCTGGTCATAGGCAGGATCAATTACTAAGTTCATCTTTTATTCCTGCATGAAGCCTGGCTTCATCACTAAGGGTAATTCAGTCCATGTTGTAGTCTCTGGCTTTGAATTTTTCAGCAGACTCCTCTCTTCCTATTTCAAAACTCATGTTTCCTCTTGTGCTACCCAAAGACGGTTTCCTGAGCAATGCCTTCTATAGATTCTGGTTCTTGACCAGCTTAAGTGGTTTATACTTCAGGATTAATGAAGAGGCAGGCTTTTCAGTAGGTTTTCCTGGTAACTAATAAATGCTCCGAGCTAGGTGATAGTCTTAAAATATTAACTAACTGCCCCTGTCCCGCCAACCAAACCAAACAAAAAAACTTCAAATATGACTAGTTACTAGAGCCTGGACTAGGAGCAGTATGAATATTTTAGTGAATAATTTAAAACTACACAACAAACCCTACATTAGTTTAACAAACCCTACATAAGTACTGAATTTAAAAATATCAGTAGCAAATAAATAATCAGAGTTGGATATCCATAAATGCAAATCAGCAGTGTTTTCTTCATTATTTAAAAAAAAGGGAAAATGGCTATCACTCTTTGTGATCATACAAAAATTTCAAAGAAAACTAATTTTAGCTCACTCTTCCAATTTATCTTAGCTAATCATTTTCTACCTTAAGAATAAACAAGCCAAATTTAAATGTGTAAGAATTCAAGTACAGAGGCTGTCTTCCTGAAAAAAGCAATTAACCAACAGTGAACATGGTAATGAGAAAATATCCCAACTTACTTCAAATTTATAAAGTAAAGTTTTGATAAAACGAAACATTTAAAAATAGATATGCTCACACAGTGACGACACAATGTCACATTAGATCTGAGTGTCATTCCAGGCCTGGGAAACCAGATTTATACTCTACAGAATGGCACAAATATTCTCACAGCTGTTCATTAAAACAGCAATTCATTAAAAATATGAGACAAATAATTATGATGCCTGAAGTGATTATAATATGTTAAGATCAAGATAAGCAGAAGTATAAACTAATAGGTTACACAGCTAATATTCATTATGAGGCATGAAAAAACTAGATCGGGTGAAATATACTGAATAAAAATCATCTCATATATTTAATTTGGAATCCAAAATGAGGGAAATGTGTCCCCATCAGATATAAAAGTACATTCTTTTAGATAGAGAATTAAATAAAAGTTAATTAATATATTTTCATCTTGTTTCATAGAAGTCCACTTCTGGAAGTTGAAAAAGGCTTCAAATGCTGGCAATCTGAAAATATCAAACAAGTATTCAAAAAGTATATATACATTTAAAACTATAAACTATTTTCAGGCATAACAGAAAATACAGAGGATAATATAATGGTCATTTTCTTTTGTATTATTATGGGTTTGTCTTATTTTTAAAGTGAAACTTTTTTAGAGTTCAAATTTTCATAGAAGAAAATTCTATGAAATTCTGCAAGGGAATATCACAACCAAATCTGTAACAGAAAGACATTTTCCAACAAATTAACCAATCTAGCTGCCTTGATGAACCTGTTGATAAAATGACATAAATTTACCTCCTAATTTCCTTATCTGAGCGGAATCACTGTTAATGAAATATATAAATTTTAGCCCTACCGGGTTTGGCTCAGTGGATAGAGTGTCAGCTCTCGGACTGAAAGGTACCAGGTTCGATTCTGGTCAAGGGCACATACCTCAGTTGCAGGCTAGAACCCTGGCCCTGATTTGGACGTGTCTGGGAGGCAACCAATCCATGTGTATCTCTCACACGGATATTTCTCTCTCTGTCTCTCCACTTGTCGGCTCTCTAAAAATCAATGGGAAAATATCCTTGAGTAAGCATTAACAAAAAATAAAAATAAACAAATAAATAAATAAATTTTACCAAGAAACTATGTCATTTATTGTATGTATGATTCTCCCCTAAGAAAAGATTTCCTTCTTGGAACAGAGTAACTTTACAAACAGGCAAACATACACAAACACAAATATTGAGCTGACATGCTCAGTAAGTCCCAATGTAAAAAATAAAGTTTCTAACTGAAGGCTTAATATTTCAATGGGGATGATGATTCAACAACATACTATTATGCAAAATAGTACACATAAGCTTAAAGATTCAATCGAGTAACTCTTGGAACATAATCAGTGTTTCCTTAGATTTTATTCAATACTAGTACATTGACAGTTATGTTTTTCATGCTTCTCCATTTCTACACTGGTGTGCCTACAACCTTCTAATCACAAATCATTTTGCAGTGATAGGAATTCTTTCTCTGCCTACTGGTTAAAAGCTTAGGTGGGAGAGGACAAACATTCCTTGAAAGTCTAAATGCAAACACTCTGCTACATGTTTTACTGACATTGTCATTTAACTTTCATAACAATCCTTAAATGGTGATAATTATTTTCCCTATTTTATAGATTTAAAAATTAAGGCTTTGGGGATTTAAGGCCAAGGTCACACAGTTAAGATTCAAACCTGGCCCGTCTGGCTCCTAAGCTTATGCTCCTTCCACTGTATAGACAAGGGATGACAACTCATCTAATTCAGGAATACCCAGATGAAACGTACAATCTACAAATGAAAGGTACTCCTCTTCATTCTGAGAGTTGAATAACGTATTATAAGCAAGGAAGGTGGGTGGTTAAAGCCAAGGCCTTGGAAAAGATCACTATAAACCGACCCTGTTAGTAACGTAGTTTAAAATTGCTCCTGCTCTACCGTGTCCTTGTCCTACAGCCCAGACACAAAGCGGAAAGGGTCAGAACTGACTACAGAATTCAGTTGACTCTAAAGCCCAGATTATTACAGAAGCATTGCCCAACCTCCCTCCTGATAACTTTGCCACAAAACGCAGCACAATTCTAAACATTTGAGTATTAAAAGAACTAAAAGGCAAACTAAATAAACTTCAGCAATAAACACCTTTCCTTGAAGATCAATTTTATAATGTGTGCAATATGTACTTCAGTAAACAACATTACACTCATATAATCCCCAAATACAGTTCATTCCATTACCAAACTGGAAATCAGATTTAGTGATAACCAGTTCAGACTCGAGAGAGCCACGGGGGGGGGGCGGGGGGGGCAGTGAGAAGGGGGGACAGTCAACTCTCCTAATGAGGCCAAGTGCAGAGAGGAGTCAGCTAAAACGGCTCCTTTGAGGGTTGCACTTCAATATTTCAGTTTATAGCAGATTTTTCTCCTTTGCAAACTCTTAGGCTTGAAAGAGATCTGCTTTTCGTTCCCAGATAACTGTTATTGCTGCCCATTGGGTAGAGAATTCCGGATCATAAATACAGAGTGGGAGGGCCTGGGATCTTCCCGTTTCCTAACGAAATATATGTATTTTTTTCAACCACAAGAACACTGTGTTCCAACAGGACAAGAGAGCGCGCAAACATTTACTGAGCATGAATGAACAAACATGCATGTTATATTTAACTCTCACCTTGACCATTTTACAAAGACGACAAGATCTAGGGTTTCGCCCAAGGTCACGCCTGCAGTAAGGGGCACATCTGGATGCAATCCAGGTGTGCCCACGCAAAACGGTGCAGGGGTGGCTCACCCAGGCATTTCACGAAGGACGGACTTAAGCTAGACCCGCGGGCCAGGGAATGACAGGCTCCGAAGCTCGGCTCTGCCAGCCGGACGAGGAGGCGGTGCGACCTTTCCCCAAACCCTCCGGGGCCACGGCGCCCGGGGCCGGTGGGAATGGGGCAGGCAGGACCCAGCCCAGAAGCCCGGCCGGGTTGGAGTCGCGCCTAAGGGAGGGGGTGCGACACAGGTCGTCGAGGCTGGTGAAAGATGGTGGACGAGGCAAAAGGGAACAGCAGGGAAAGGCGAGAAAGTAGACGCGTTCACTCGAGGGTGTAGGTGACGCCTCCGGCGACGGAGGTGTCCGCGGGCCCCGGAGGCAAGGTCTCGGCGGGAGCCATTACCTGCCGGGTGGTTGTACAGCGGCCTCAATTTCTCAGGCAGCATGAGCTCCACTCTATCGAGGACCCGGTGGTAGGTGGCCCTCAGGCCCCGGACGCCGGCGGCTGACATCTCTGCGGACGAGGGGTCGTGGCCGGGCCGGCGCGAGGGTGGCCGCGTACTCGTCCCCGGCTGACGACGAAGGGCAGCCTGTCACTCTCCCGGCCTCAGGGCCTCGCGTCCTACGCTCCCCGCCGCCGCTCAGCCTGTCCCGCTTGCGAATCACCCTGGGGCCCGGGCCCGGAGAAGGCCGAGGAGGCGGAGGCTCTGCGACGGCCCGCCCTGGGTCGGCCCTCGGCCCGCCCGCCGCCCACTAGGAGGGGAGGCATGGCAACCGGGGTCAGAATCGCCTCCGCGATCCCTTGGGAGTCCGGCGCAGCGCGCGTGCGCGAGCGGAGCTGTCCACGGTGATTGGTCTGCCCCGCGGAGTGGGCGTGGCCCAGCGCGAGCCGCCTATTTCTCCTTCCTGCCCTCGAGGCCATGTTGGAGACGGGAAAGTGAAGTTGCCCTGAGCCCCTTTCATGTTGATGAAGGAGGCCCATAGTTAAAATGGGCTGTCGGGCCTGCCGTGCCCCAACTAAAGATGACGGCGCACGGCCCTCTTGTTTCCTTTGGGATGGAACTCGTGAGCGAGAAACTTCAGATCTCAGCTTCCTCGGTTATCCTTGCAGGATGAAGGATTTGGCTGCAGGGGCCTGAACCTGCTTTTCTAGGATGAAGGCGGCTTTTCCTCTTGCGACCGGAGCGAGCGTCTCCCGTCCCCCGGATGGTCGTCATCTCGCGAGAATGCCTGAAGGGAGGGGTCGAGAGCGGGGAGAGGGCGGAGCCGCGGCCGCCTCCGCCTCCTCCCCCGCCCCCTGCGGGAGGCCGAGGGCGGGGCTGTTGCCGATCTGGACGTTCGGGCCAGTCTGGGGAGAGTATGAGCCGAGCTCCGGCCGCGGCGCGCCCGGGCTTCGGGGGCGAAAGCGCCGCCGCCTTCTGAGTCGCTGCGGCCGCCCGCGAGGCCCGGCGCGCGGATGGTGCCGGTGCGGCTCGGGGGCTGATCGCACGTCCCCTCTCCCGGCCCCTCCCCGCGCGGTGGGCTCCCCTCCCACCCGGCGGCGGAGCCATGTCTCGGGGTGGCTCCTGCCCACACCTGTTGTGGGACGTGAGGAAAAGGTCCCTCGGGCTGGAGGACCCGGCCCGGCTGCGGAGCCGCTACCTGGGTGAGCGGGGGCCGCGGGGCGGAGGCGCTGGGTGCCGCCCAGGGGTGGGGGAGGGGGCCGCGGTCGGGGCTGTTGGCGGCGGGACGGCGCCTCGACCGGGGCGCCCCTGAGACTCGGGGGGCGCTGGGTGGACTCCGACAGACGGACCCCGAGCCCTGCCCTCCGCGGCCAAGCCCCCTTGCGTGCTGCCAGCCGCCGCCCTGGCCGGCTTTTCCTCGCGGGGCCGGACCGGGGGCGGACGGTACCGGCCAGGAAAGGGGTCGGGGCGGCTTCTGGAGTGGGACTCGGGGCACGACCCGCCGGGCCTCCCGGAGCGTTTGGAGCAAAAGTTGGCGCTCCTGCTCTTCTCCAGCGCCGCCCCGCTCAGCCGAGGACGGGGCTTTCGGCTGCCACCCCGCCCTGCGGCCTCGGAGGGTTCAGGTGTCGGCCGCGACGCGGCGCCCACCCTCGGCGTGTCCCGCTCGAACGGGCTCCGCGGGGACCCCCGGCTCCGAGCCCGAAAGTGGTCGCTGAGCTGTGCCGCCCGCGAGCGCTCGGCCCCGCCGCTCGGCCGGGTCTGGCCGCCTGGAGGAGGTGTAGGGTTTCGCGCTCCCTTTCCCACCCCTGCAAAGCGCACTTGGCATTTTCTGTTTCTTAGTTCAGCTTTCTAAAAACAGCCCCAGCGCTGGAGGGACTGTCTTCCACCTTTTCCGTTTCGGATCCAGTGGTTTTGCGGGGATTCTGGGTCACGCCGAGCTAACCAAAAGCCCGCTCTCTTCAAAGTGGGCATCCTGAGTGTGGGTCTTTCTGTTGTTTTCTTCTTGTGCAATCTTATCATTCCTCTTTCTTCTTCTTTATTTTTATTTGAGGATAACGTTTAAATTTCTTTCTTTCCAACTTTGTCACTTTTACTGGCTGAGTCTTTTTTGATGTCATTTGTTTTCGACTTCAAGTCAACAGAAAAGTTGGAAGCATTTTTTTTCTTATCCTTGGTTTTTGTTGGGTTTTTTTTTTAGTGTCTCAAGTGACTTATGAATACATTCTCCTTGTAAAAACTTAATAAAAACGAAGCAAAAGTCCCTGTGATCCTTCCCATTCCAATTTCACACACACATCCTTGGAGGTAACAGTATTATCTGTTTCCTGAATATTTGTCCAGACCTTTTTCTTTTCATTCTTACCAGCACATGTGTATACATAGAGATGCTATAGTGTGTGTGTGTGACCAGCATAAACATTGCCTTGCAACTTTCTTTTCTACACTGCATCTTAGAGATCGTAACATGGCAGTAAAAATAGATCTGTTCTTTCTATAGAAACATATATAAGTTTATATACTATTGTTTTCTTCTGCTTCAGCTCTGTCTACGATAGAGTCCATTAAAATTAAAACCCTATATTTTTCCCCCTTCCTATTCTAACTCCCTAATGGAGTGGAGTTTGTGTTGAAGTTAGGGAATAGAACTGTTTCCTCCTACTTCATAGGTCGAGGGTCAGCCCCTAAACCACACTGTCTGGGCTAGATCCCATTTTTGAGATTTCAACATTTAAACGTTTTGATTATCTATAGTATTGTAGGTTAATTACATTTCTAGTTTATTTCCATTATTTGTATTTCTGATCAATTACCACTAAATAACAGTGAAATTGGGATAGAATGAATTGACAGGTTTTTCTTGTGACATTTGCATTTCAAATTATTTCACCATAGAACATATCTTTTCAATGGTAGTATTCAAGTTTTGTTGTTTATTTTATTTAAATTTGGTTGATTATCTATTTTCCTCTCATGAAAGAAAATTACAGTTCACAAAATGTACTTTTACATTGTAGGAATGAAGATAATAATTTGTCATACGTTATTTAAGAGAAGAAGTATATTATGCCAATAGCCCCCAAATTCACCTAAACCAATAGAGCCTGGATTGAACGACAGTAGGCCAGGGATTGTCTTCTCTATGAGCCTGATAAAAATTTCAGTGTGGGATTTATTTTTTTAAACACTAATTGTCAAAGTCCCGAGTTAGGGACACCTATAAGTTTACGTATTCAGACTTTCTCCATGTTGTATATGCTCTGTCCACATAGGGTGGTGCTTTGGAATTCAGTGATTGTTACAACTTATTAGCCACACATTTTAGTGTATATATAGTTTTGTAAAGATAAGCATTGCTTATAAAAGAAACTCATTTCTGTACATATCCTCTTTGCATATATCTTTCATTTTAGACAGACTTGTCTACTACTTGAATTAACACTTTCTAACTCCTCTAAAGGATGGTAATTGACAAAAGTAATTTTAAGGAACTTTTTGAAGGAGCCGTTTGCTATAATACTTAAAATATTTAATATAAAGTTTTTAAGTTATGATTAAGTAGGGTCTTGGTCAGTGTGGGCTACTGTAACGAAATGCCATAAACTGGGTGGCTTATAAACAAGAGAAATTGATTTATAACAAATTTGGAGGCTGGAAGGCTGAGATCAGGTGTCCACATGGTCAGATTCTGTCTGGTGAGGCCTGCTTCCTGGTGCATAGCCATCTTTTGACCATAACCTCAGATGGCTGAAGGGCTAGCTTCTTCTCTGGGGTCTCTTAGAAAAGCCCTAAACCAATTCCACTCACCTCCCAAAGATCCCACCTCCTTATACTATCACTTTGGGCGTCAGGATTTCAATAGAGGAATTTGGGGATGAGAGGTATATAGTAGGCAGTCTGTGACAACTTTATAGTGGAGATTGAAAATTTTTTGTAAGGGGATTAGGAAGACAATGTCTGAATATTATTAAAGTCAGTATGTATTGAAACGGATACTTTTCCATTTACAGTGGGGCCTTGACTTAAGAGTGTCCCAACTAAGGAGTTTTTTGACATACCAGCTGTCTCTTGGCCGACTTTTTGCTTGAGTTGCTAGAGTAATTTGAGTTAACGAGCTCCTTAACGAGCTCGGTCTCAGAACAAATTAAACTCTTAAGTCAAGGCCCCACTGTACTCTTTTAATTAATGTTTATTTTTGAGAGTATTACAGATGTCCCCCATTTTTGGTACATCCTGAATTATATCTACATTCAGATTTACCAAATCCATAATGTGTTGCCAAGTTACATTATTTGAACGTCAGTAAATTCTGACTTTGCCTCCTTTTTAGCTGCTGGGAAAAAGTTAGTGTTTCTTTAGTCTTGAAATCTCTGAAAATTGGAAAATGTCTGATTTTAGTAGTGAAAATGTCAAATATGAAAATATATCAAATAGAATATGCTAATTCTTTATATAAGACTAACAGAGACATATTTTCAGTCATAAATGTAGATAGCAGGATAGGATCGCTCTGCTGAGGACTCCATCCTTCCCTGGATGAATGCCTTTAGGAGGGATAAGAGCTTTTAGTAGCGCAGAACTTGTGTTACAGTTAGGTATTAGGTCAGTGTTTGCAAATGTTTTGACCACAATCCACAGTGAATATACATATACATGGCAATTTGAGATACACACTGAAATAAAAGGTTCTATGAGTGGGATTTAGCCTTACTAGGTGGGGTACATTTTAATTTAGGTTCTTTATCATATTGAAAACGTTGAATATCCACTAATGAGTTTCAGCTTGAGGTTTATTTGCCACCCATACACTTTGGTTAAATGTTCAGATTTACCTTCTTAATAATTTAAGAATTCTTTACATATTCTTGATGCAGGTCCTTAATCGGATATGCATTTTGCAGATATTTCTCCCACTTTGTCTTGTCCTTTATTTTTCTTAACAGCGTCTTTTGTAATTCATACTTTTGGTGTCCTATTTAAGACTACCTAATCCAAGATCAAAATGATTTCTACTATGCTTTTTTCCTAAAAGTTTTCTACTTTTAACTCTTACATTTAGGTTTATGAACAATTTTGAATTACTTATGCTATGAGGTAAGGGTCAAGTTTCAGTTCTTTGCCTATGAATGTGCATTGATTCAGCACCATTTGGAAAAAGGCAGTCCTTTTCCCTTTGTTGAAAATCAATTGGCCATGAACATGGCTTTTCTTTCTCTCTATTTTTTTAGGTGTTCTTTCTTTTCCCTCAGCAATGTCTTATAAATTTATTTTTTACAGTGTACAAATCTACACATATTTTGTTCTGTTGTTTCCTATATTTTGTTCTGTCTCTCCAGAGTTTTGTCACCCTTTGATTTTCATTTCCAGTTATGTGGTATGACGCCATGGGGGTTGTTACTTCAAGAAGACAGCAGTCAGTAGTGACAGATAAGGAGGTCATGAAAAGTATGTCTTGAAAAAAGACCATTGGATTCACTGATAACCCATGATTTCCAAGAGCAAAACCAGTAAAGAGGAAGCGACCAAAGGGACAATGTCAGAAAAGGAAGACCTGACCATGAGCTAGGGAGGGCAGCAAATGTAGATGATGGGAAATTTGGCATTAAAAAGTTGTTGAAAGGGACAATAGGATCAAGAAAAGTGAACATTTCTGTTAAGGCGCTTTCCTTCTCAGTATCACTCGCCTTTTTCTTTTCTATTAACCACTTGAAGTTACCTCAGCTCCTTTAATAAAGTCTTTTTTTTTAAATCATTCTTTCTCTTTTCAGACAGTATTAATTTAGAACAATCCCACATGTGCATAGGGAGACTACTAATCTTGAGTGTCTACAGTATATCAGGCACATCTGTGAGTTTTCCATATGCTAATTGTTTACTCTCAGCATTAAACCTGTAAAGTTGATGGTATTATTCCCATCAGATGTAAAACTTTTACCAGTGTGAAAACTGAGGCTCTTAGAGGTTAGGTTTTGCCCAGAGTATGTGTAGTATGTTCCAAGTTAGGTATTTAAACCCAGTTCTGACCTTTCTGGTCTCAAGCATGTCATATTCTAATAAGAGAGTTAGTTATGCAGATAAGTAAGTTACAAAGCTATTTAATAAGTTTCACAGCCATTAAAATGAGCAATAGCTCAATATTTATTGTCATTGAAAGATGTTCCTCCCAAATTATTGAGTGAAACACATAGAACAGAGTGAAGACTTTGATCCCATTCATTTATCCATTGATTCAGCAAATACAGATTGAGTGCCTGCTTTGTGCTAGGCACTGTTCTAGGCATTTGTTCCTCTTTTTTATGGCGTTTATAATCTATTAATACTGAATGGAATGTTGAGATGGAAATGGGATAATAAGGCAGTTTGGCTTGCAGAAAGACTGGAGTAGGAAGCCACAACGATAAGTAAATTCACCCATAACAAGAGTGTAATTGTTGGAAGAGTTTTCCATGGCTTTGTTACATTTCTGCACATCTTGTGAGCAGAGGCACTGGCTGCTTTGTTCTGGACTATCTTTCCAAGAATGTTTACGTAGTGTCTCCCTCTGGGGCAGAGGGCAGATTTATTTATTGTCCAGCATAATGAAGACAATGTGTCCTTTTATCAGGCAGGTTCATTTGATACAAGATTTGGGTCCCTGCAGTTCAGAGGTCTCTGGCTGTGATTCAGATCCGGTGCGTGCACAGTGTTGCACCCAGACTGCTCTGCATCGCCCAGTGGGAATTGGGGGCTGAGGAGTAAAGTGTAAACCTGAAGCCCATACCGTTTGCTGGGCCATGAGTAGTAAAGTATTTGCTTCTGGCTTGAGAGTCCTTTTCTTCTGCCAGCTCCCATGAAATGGCAGGTAGCTTGTTAGCTTGCAAGTAGGCCAGACTCTGCAGGCATGAGTTTATTTTTACTTTTATTTGAGGGCATTCAGTTTCTTTAACTTACAGTTCTTATTTTCTGGTGGTTTTCAGTTCCCATTTCTTGGAAGCGCATTTAATTGCTGAAAGGGTAGAGGGCATTGAGACTTGTTACTTCTAGAAGCATGTTTTATGGGACGTGTGTACGTACAACCATTTTGATCTCCAAAGTCATGTTAAAAAATACTCAGGAGCTATCTACTTAACTGTTGTGCTTCAGCGTGTGTCTTATGCACAGATTTCGTAGATGAGCATTCTTGCTGGAACTCACTTTGTCTTCTTTTGTCTCATGTGCCATCATTATTTTCTGTAGACAGAAATGGCTAGAGCTGTTTTTTCAAAACCAGATTTTTAAAGTTTGGAAAAGTTTCTAGTACATTTATAAAAACATTTTAATGAATTGTTGTCATGTTGTTAATTTGAGTACTTTATTTCTTAACTGTGAATTGGTTACTCAGTAGAATTACCAAGCCTGCCATTGGTCAAAGAAAGAAGAATTTTTTAAAAAGTTATTTATTTGCGCCCAGCTGGTGTGGCTCAGTGGTTGAGTGTCAACCTATGAACCAGGAGGTCACAGTTCAATTCTCTGCAGGGCACATGCCCAAGTTTTGGGATCAATCCCCAGGGTGGGGCATGCAGGAGGCAGCCAATCAGTGATTCTCTCTCATTGATGTTTCTATCGCTCTCTCACTTCCTCTCCGAAATCAATAAAAAAAATATTTTTTAAAAATTTGCTATTAGTAATGTTTTATAACTGAAAATCAGATTTGAAAAGTTAAAGGAAAATACCTTACTGAATTTCTGTCAATTGTTTTATTCCAAAGAGTTTTGGAACCCACACACAAAAAGAAATTATTTTTTAATCCATATGTTCATCCTCTAGCCATCTTGCCTGTTATACGGAAGGAGAAAGAAAACAATTTGGCTTCAAAGAAGATGCTGATCTTTATGTAGAATGGTGAGAAAACATAATAAAGAAATCTGTCCCTGTGACAGTATACAGAGAGCATAGTCAAATTTAATTTTATCCGAGATTTCATCAGCCTGATTACTTAGCTAATTATCGCTCTTTGTCACATACTCAGCTTCCTTTCATTACAGTTTCTGAATAAACATGAAGCTTTTTGGTCCATCTTTGGTAAAGATGATTCATGTCTTAAAGGGAAACATATTTCTCTTTTTCAAAGAAGGAACATATTCTATTTTTGTAGTATTTTAACTGTTCTGCTGTCGATGGACATCTAGGTTGATTTTATTTTTTGCTGCCACATTTCATCATTGTAAAATGAGCTTTGAAATACTTCAGCATTTCTCAAATGGAGATGTGTTTAAGTAGAGGTGGCATCTAACAAGCACTGTGCGCCACCACTATTTAAATTGAAAACCCGTCCTCCACCTCCAGGCCTCTCTCACCCCTTTCTCTGCTTTACTTTTCCATGTAGCACCTTCACCAAGTGCCATATTGTTACTGTCTTTCACCCCTCACTAGAGGACAAGGCTCTTTTTCTGTTTTGTTTTACCACCATATTCCTAGCTCCTAGAATACTACTTGCAACAGAGTAAGTACACTAAGTATTGAATGTATTTGTTGGATGAATGAGTGAATGAAGGGAACCTTGAGTGTTTGCTGTGGTCCAGACACTGTGCTAAGTAAGCACTTTATGTCCTTGAAATCACTCAATCCTTACAATAACTAAAGGGTGTCCCAAAATTCACGCAAGAAGTAATTTTGATAGAAAACACAGGTTTATAATGAAAAATTGTAAATTTTTTATTGATTAATAAAGTATACAGTATAGGGTTATGTATGGAATAGCATGTCGGGTAAATGGCCTCCACGGCTTTGCTGGCACATACGCACTCTTTTGTTGAAATTTTCCATGACCGTTTTGCATAAATGTGGCTGAATTTCGATGAGGCTCATTTTCATCTTGATGGCTTGGTTAATCGACAAAATTGTCGCATTTGGGGTTCAGAAAATCCACGAGTGATTGTTGAGAAACAAACGCATCCATAACGTGTCACCGTTTGGTGCGGATTTTGGGCTGGAGGCATCATCGGACCATTCTTCTTCGAAAATGCGGCTGCTCAGGCAATAACAAAAGAGTGCGTATGTGCCAGCAAAGCCGTGGAGGCCATTTACCCGACATGCTATTCCATACATAACCCTATACTGTATACTTTATGAATCAATAAAAAAAAATTACAATTTTTCATTATAAACCTGTGTTTTCCATCAAAATTACTTCTTGCGTGAATTTTGGGACACTCTGTATAAGAGGTAGGTAGGTACTCTAATGAGGAAACTAGGGCATAGGACAGTGATGGCGAACCTATGACACCCATGTCAGAGGTGACACGCGAACTAATTTTTTTGGTTGATTTTTCGTTGTTAAATGGCATTTAAATATATAAAATAAATATCAAAAATATAAGTCTTTGTTTTACTATGGTTGCAAATATCAAAAAATTTCTATATGTGACACGGCACCAGAGTTAAGTTAGGGTTTTTCAAAATGCTGACATGCCGAGCTCAAAAGGTTCGCCATCACTGGCGTAGGATGAGGTTAATTTGCCCAATTTCACTTAGCTTATAAGTGGAAGAGTTGAAATTAGAGCTTGAATCTACTTATGCCAGATCCTAGGCTCTTAACTTCAGTGTTCTACTTTCCGCAGCAATAAATGGTAGGATATATTTAGTTCTTTCTTTCTTTTGAAACAGGAAGAAGAGAATTTATCCAAAGATTAAAACTTGAAGCAACCCTGAATGTGCATGATGGCTGTGTAAGTAATCGTTGTTTTTCAACCGTGAAGGACTTTCAAACTGAGTATTTAAATGTTTGATAAAATGCCCCAGTCTTGCACACTGAAAGATTGCTGGTTCACGAAGGAAGGAGCCCATTGATGTTTCTCTCTCTCTCTCCTTCTCCCTCCTCTCTCTAAAATCAATTTTAAAATCTTAAAAAAAAATTCCCCAGTTTTCCCTGAAGAGATTGTGACTGGCCAATAAACTGGGAGAATAAAGTTTTACATTAAAGTGATTTTGAATTTGGAAAAGTATATGTTAGGTGTTTTTTTTTTAAAGTAGAGATGGTCCATGTTACTCCATCTTGACTAAAAGTGGAAGTCTAATTCTTTTTTTGAAATTTAGATATAGTTCATATACCATAAAATTCACCCATCTTAATGTGTAATTCAGCATTTTATTTTTATTTTTTATATTATTTATGTATCTGTTTTATTGACTGTATTGGGGTGACATTGGTTAATAAAATTATATAGGTTTCAGCTGTACAATTCTCTAATACACTGTATATTGTATTGTGTGTTCACCATCCCAAGTCAAGTCTCCTTCCATCACCATTTATCTCCCCTATAATTCAGTGGTTTTTAAAATATAATCATAATGTGGTACCGCCGTCACCACTATCTAATTCTAGTATATTTTCAGCATCTGAAGTATAAGTTTGTACCATTTATCAGTCGTTCCCATGCCCTCCCCACCTAGCTGTTGGCCTTCACTAGTTTACTTTCTGTCTCTGTAGATATGCCTCTTCTGGACTTTTTATGTAAATAGAATAACATATGTGGCTTTTCAGACTTGCTTCTTTCACTATCATTAACGTTTTCAGGGTTTGTCCATGTTACAATATGGGTAATGTGGCTGAATAATATTTCATTGCGCAGATATTTTGTTATAAGCAAACAGGCAGTCCCATTTTGTTTATGATATTTGGGTTGGTTTCCCTTTGGGCTTTTATGAATGATGCACCCATGGACTTTTGTGTACAAGTTTTTGTGTGACATGTTTTCTTTTCTCTTGCATATAGACCTTGTTGTGGAATTAATGGGTCACAGCACAACTCTGTGTCAGTTTTGAGGTGCTGCCAAACTTTTTTCCAAAGAGCTGTGCTATTTTGCATTCTTTCCAGCAATGTATAAGGCCTCCAATTTCTTGATATCCTCACCAACTCTTACCTTCTGTGTGTTTTTTAAAAATTATTATAGCCATCCTAATAGGTGTGAAATAGTAACTCATTGTGGTTTTAGTTTTCGTGAAGATTTACACCTGTTTTCTTCTAAGAGTTTCATCGTTTTGGCTATTACATTTAAATGTTTGATCATTTTCAGTTAGTTTTTATATATGGTGTGAAGTAGGGGTCTAAATTCATTCTTTTGCTTGTGTATATCCAGTTGTCCCAGCATCATTTGTTGAAAAAACTCTTCTTTCTCCATTGAGTAGTCTTAGACTCCTTGATAAAAATTACTTGACCATGAATGTAAGGGTTTATTTCTGACTATCAGTTCCATTCTGTTGATGTGTGCTTATGGTTATGACAGCACCACACAGCCTTGATCACTGCAGCTTTGTAGTAAGTTTTTCTATTTCCTTTTTATGTGACCCAGTTTTATGTCTCTGGATATAAAATGAATTTGTTAAAATAATTTAAATAATAAAATTTAAGAGAGACGACATTTCATTGTGAATATTCAGAATATTGTGTTTGCTAAATAGTAGCATGTATTTTCAGGAAGTAAATTGATAAATACTATTTTCCGTATACACAACCTCATTAGTGATATAAATTTTGAACCATCAGTTAAGTAAAAGATTCATACTTGTTTTTATGTTCAGTTTGCTGCAACCCCTTTTTTGCTTTCTTTTTAGGTTAATACAATCTGTTGGAATGAGACTGGAGAGTATATTTTATCTGGCTCAGATGATACCAAGTTAGTAATTAGTAATCCTTACAGCAGAAAGGTAAGTGGTTTATAAAATCTACAATTTCATGAGAGAGAGAAAAATCAAGAAACTAGAAATCAAGGAAATGTAAATAATCATGGACTGGGCATTTGTAATAGAATATTCTTATTTTGCTCACATTTGTTATATAATTTATAAGTTATTACAGCCAGGTCCCTACTTTCCTTTGGAAAACGTTAGGTTTCCTTCTGCTTTTTGACTCTAGAATACTTAAGCATGCTTCATGTTATCCAAGTGGATAAAATTGCCAAAGTGATATTATCTCAATAAACCATTCTTTGGGGGCCAGGGAGGCAATGTGATTTTTTTTTCCTTTCTGCTCAGAGAAACTAACTTTCAGCCAAGCAGTGTAAGAAACGGGATTTTATCAGTTTAAAAACAGTCGCTAGATTCTAGTGACTTGTTTCTTCAGTTCAGTAAACTGGGCTATGAACTAGGATTGTGTTCTGGTTCTTACTGGCTCTTCCTCTGACTTCTTATATAGAAGGAATGTGCAGCTATTTTTATGTCAGTGAGAACATGGTAGATGGGCACCCTTTTTTAATAGTATCAATCTTACAGAATAAATAGTTATGTATTTTTTATTCCTACAAACAGTTAAGATATTTAAATAAATGTTTGTGGTCCTTCAGCCTAAAAAGAGGTTCACATTGAGCCTGTCCTTGATGGAAAAGATAGGTCACAATTTTATTTCAAGACAGCTTTGCTTAATTGTGCTGGCTTACCAGAGGGAAACTTGATGTTTTCAAGCTCTACTTCTCGTAGGCCTGTAATTACTAAGACAACCTTTTTCTTACAGTGAAGAAATTCCTGATCATTAGAATTTCAGTGCTTATAATATACAAAGCACTCATCTAGGTACCAACGAAATTTCTTTAAAAAATGCAGAGCTTTATATTTTTTTAAATTGTGATAAAATGCACATAACATAAAATTAACCATTTTTAGGAGTTCAGCTCAGTGACATTATATACAATCACCTATTGTGATACCATCACTCCCATCCAGCTACAGAACTCTTCATCTTGCAGAACTCAGACTCTGCCCATTAAACCGGAGTTCCCCTCCCGGCACCCTCCCCCCAGCCCACAACCAATATTCTACTTTCTTTCTCTCTGAATTTGACTAAGTACTGCATCTACTTCTAGGTACAAAAGCTGGTGCTGCTGGCCGTAGTTTGATGTTAATGAAATT